CAGGAATGCTCGGTCTGATGTAGGCTTTGAATTTGACAACTCAGGTGTTAGGAGGAAGGAGTCTGAAGGTCCTTTCTTGGGAAGTTCACAAAAAATGACTGCAGTTGGGACACTGTGTTGAGCTGTAAGTGTGACCACTTTCCCCTCTCTCCTCCTCCCCTTTTATTTAAAAAGCAACCAAACAAAACCAACCAAACAAAAACCCTCTTGCCTTCAGCGTTTTTTCAGTTAAGGTGGTCTTCCCTACTTCTATTTCCATTTCTGATTTCCTACATGGCTTTTTTTCTTTGCAAATAGCACTCAGTATCTGTGACTGACAGGCTGGAGTTAAAAAAAGAAATATTTTTTTCTCTTTACCTTCCTTCTTTTATTTTCTGGCATCATTTCCCTTCCTGCCCATCTAAATCCATATTCTTTTTTTTTTTTTCTTCATTGATTGTGTTGTCTTTCTCTCTTCCCTGTTCTATCCTCTTTAGTTTTACTCTCTATTTCAGTTCCTCATTTTCCCTCCTTTCCCAGCCTTATGAAGTGCTGTCATGGTATCACGTGGGGACTGCAAGGAAAATTACCAAAACTTCCACAGAAGGAAATACAGCTTCTACAGTAAAGGCAGTGCTTGCTTCCTTCCCTCACCTACTGCTGCCAAAATGTTTCAGATTCACAAGATAGCTCCTCAATGAGACTGGAAGAAGGAGAGATTCCCCTGAATTTTTAGTGCAGTCACCCAGGTTATCCACTTCTGAGGCCAGCCCCCATCCTTAAAATACAAACTTTTCATAGCACAATAATGTTCTCTTTATAAAGAACAATGTGATAGTGGTGTGTCAGGTACTTTTGCCACAGCACTAAATCACCAAAAATCAGATGGATATTAACATACTGTTTTTCAGAGTTAAAAATAACTGATTACTGATGAGCTAATGTGTGTATCTTGCAACTGGCAGCCATTTCTAATCCCATGTTACTGGTTTCCTTGGTACCTTGCTAGCAGCTGTAGATAATTTTTTTTGTTGTAAACATAAACTATCTAAATCAGGACATTATATATATATATTTAATTAGTTCAGAAGCAAAGTGCTTTAAACCTTACAATTTTTACTTCTGCCCTGTAGAAACGGCACTAGGTCTAAATGCTCAAATTTTTGCTTTTTGATACATCCTGCAGCATTAGCTTTGTAGGCAACTTGTCATTTAAACCTACTGTACTACATAAAGGCTGCCGTACTGTAGGTGTAAATTTGAATGTTAGCCATCACTTAGACATGCGTTTTCATGCAACTAGGAGATAATGGGCTCATTCAACTGCTTCTCAGATTCATCCTGATTTTTGTGATTTTATCTTATTAAAAAGGCTTTCAAAACAGTTCATGCTATGATATGTATGACTCGAGGAATGACCCAGCCAATGAAGAAAGCCCACAAGCTGTTATTTAAGTTTGACGTGGAGCAGATTGAGTGCTTCTGTACCGTCCCCTGGCTTGCAAATGCTTTGAGATGATCTTGATATTCCAGTCCTTAGAGAGTCAGCAGAGAGAGTTGTTTCCACTAATGGGCGCGAGATGGCTTCAGTAGTCTCTGTTCCTGCCTCTGTCTCCAACTCTTCATCAGTTATAAATAATTTTGACTCCCTCCATTTGGAGTATACATCTTGGCTACCTCTGGAACCACTGGAGTCACTTCCAGCAATCTGTACATTCAGTTCTTCTGTTGATTGTATAAGGTTTTGTACAGATAAAGATTTTCCTAAATCCATTTGCACCACAGGTTTAACTGAGAGCAAAGGTTCCCCTTCTGTATCCAGACCTTTTCTCCACGTGAGATCCTTTGTTGCACTGGGCTGTGCAACTTGTCCATTATCCTTTGATGCAACAAGGCAAGCGGTGACATCAGAAATATTTTCCTGTGTGGTTACAGGAATAATATGAACGGGCTCAGGCCTATTGATATGCTTCATTGATGAGAAAGGTGGTATTTGTAATGTTGTTGGAGTTGCTGGCTTAATTGCCTGGTTTATTTGGTTTGATGTATTATTAACTGTTGCAGGTCCATCGTTTGGCACTTGCGTTGCTTGACTATGCATAGCTGGACTAAAAGCATAGTAAGCCTGAGTGCTGAATTCATTTGGTGTCAGTATAAGCTGTAGGCCACGAGGCAGATTGGCACTAGCTGATCTGGATACACATCCACTAATTTGTGCAGAATTGGACAAATCTTTGCTGTCTGATGGAGTCTGGTAATCAGAAGTCTGCTCACACTCAAAAGCTGGCATTTGAAAGGAAGCCAAAGTGAGCGCAGATGCAGATCCTTTTCGCAAAACTTGTTGATAAATGTCTAACAGACAGTCCAGTTTTGACTCAATGGATTGTACCTACAGGAGGAGAGGAAAAGGTTAACATCAATGCCAAATACTAGTCTAAAATATTTGGAACCCAAGCAAAGGAAAAATGTGACTGCTGAAGAGAAAAATGGGAGGAGCTTGGTATACAGTATTGACTCCCGAAAAATAAGGTTGTCAAAAGCCATGTAGATTTTTCATAAGCGAGCTGATAAAAGGGAAAAAAATTTAGTAACCTGTGATTTTTCCTTCCTTACTTTTCTGTGCATGGAAAACAGTTAAGGTAATACAATTCATATCAATTTTATTTCAACATGTAAATGAAGCAGATATTAAAAGAAAAATATTTCACCTGTTCAGCCTTTGCAGCTGGCAACAAAATACACAAAAGGCATGAGCAATAGAGCAAGGCAAAGCAACACAGATAATCACTCTACCTGTTTCTCCACCTTGACTACACGCCCTAACATACTGAGGTCATCAGTTGTCTCATTCTCTGCAGGATTCTTTTCTCTACTTCTTTTATCTGCTGTGATTTGTCCTTTCCCAAGAATTTGGTCAACGCTGTAAGAGAAATCAAAAGCTGCTGTGATTCCTGAAAACGGTGATGATATGGAAGTGCTTGCTAATCTGTACATTTAAAATTAAAATCGTAGGACTCCAGAAAAGCACCCGAGAAAGAAGTTAACCTAATTTTATTAAAAAATTAAGAAAAAACCATGAAAGCTTTTTGAGCATTTGGAGATTAGCTCAGAGACAGCTTTTCTTTTCTGTTGGCACTAACCAGGGGCCAGAACTTAGCCATCATCTGGGAGAGCAAGGGCTAGACTTGCTGAGAGGGTGAGAGGAGGTGGCCTTTCCAGCAGTCTGATGTTGGGGGGGAACAGACGTACCAGTGCCACCCTCAGCGCTCCTGTCCTAACAGCAGCATCAAGTCCTGCGAAAGTTGTCAGTTTGAAGCAGGAATCTCAGCCCTGATGCTGGTAATGATACACATGATGCAATTTGGGGTTTTTTTTATTATTATTATTGCTGCGAATCTAGAACATAAAAGCTACATAAATACTACATTACCAGTAGTTCCCAATTTCTTTTATGTGAAAAGAGAAAGTCTGGGATGGGAGAAAGGCAGACCTCATCCTTTTGGCAACCTCATGAATAAATTCCTTGTTTATGAATGGACTTTACAGATAAAGGATTATGTTTTCTATTGGTCAGATTTCCATTTTCTGGGGACAATTTAGATACATGTTTTTTTGTTTGGTTTTCACCCACAATGTAATTTCTGGTTCAGCTGTATTCACAGAAAGAGAGGCTTGGCTGAAGCATGGATGGCAATTTGTACCCAAATACGATGCAGGAATGTTAAATGTTACCAGCATTCATTATGCAGTGAATGACATAAGATGCTTATGCAGAGCAGAAATTATTCTTTCCTTACCGTGACTGAAGACTCTTAATCCTGCATAACATGTCTAGATGCCCTGCTGAATACTGTTCAATGACATCTTTGACATCATATGGACGAAGTGTTTCCTTAAACTTTCTCTTTGCAACATGAAATTTCATAATTCTGTGGGGAAAAAGCATTTCACAGATTTATCTTCAACAGTTGTGAAACAATACAACATATTCCACTGACAAAATCTGACAGCTAATTTCTAAGTGGAAGATATTTTCAATACAGCTTGGGCAAGTGAACTTCTCCCTTTGCAAAATTGTTTTTATAAGTACAAATGCATAAGTACAAATGTGTTGTAGCTATCCCTTTGAATTGTTATTTAAGAGAGATCAGGTAACACTATTTTAAAGAGTGCAGAGCATGTTTAACTTACCACTATACACCTGTTTGGCTTTTTTGTGCTTTTTGTGCTAGGTGCCCGATATGGAAGGTTCTGAAGTACATGCTTAACTTAAACCTGGAATTAGTCCCACTGACTTGAGTGAGATATCCTGTAAGCTACATTTGTGCTTAAGCTACTTCTGTCCTTGTTAGAGGGAAGATTCCTCTAAGAAACTGATTACAGAAACACAAATAATAGTAGTATTTTTCTGGTGCTCATTTTAAGATCTTTGCTTTCCATTTTGTAAAAAAATTAAATTTATGCACCAATTCATTTTTCATCAATTTTTATTTTTAATTAACATTCAGGCTTAAGTATTTGTTTTTAATTTATTTTGCTGGCTTAATAGCAAACTTTGCAGGTTAAAGAGAAGTTTTCATATTTGTTCCATATTGAAATCTAGGAGAATTATTATTTAATTAGCATTCATGATATTTTTCCTTGAATTTTACCACAGAATATTAAGTATCAGATAAATATCAGATAACAGTAACTATCCAAAATTGATGAATGGCACATGTTTTTTATGTGAGACTTGCACAAGTTTCTGTGATGCTTATGTGAATATGTGATGTCCGGTGAGTAGCTCTTCTTAGAATGAAAAGCTTGATATTAAATTGCAAATTTTAAATAATAGAAATGACAAATTTGCAAAGTAATTGACAGTGAGTCAATTTTCCAGGTCTGCTGGTAAAACCTGCAGTTCTGTCTGGTTTACATGAGAACTGTGGAAGAGAGAACTGTCAGAGAGCTGGAAGAGAAGCCAAGGGATCATGTGTGTTGGCCATTCTGGTCTGTGTTACAAAGCTTATGAATTCCCATTAGGGCCAAACTGCTGATACTTGCTATCCATTGCAACTAAAAAAGCAGAGAGAATGAATTGGTATCCTATTCCAAATCCCAATATTTCACTCTAATATACTCCCTCCATATGTATTTAGCAGCTGTAAGTCAAATGCATGATAATAAAACCCAACACATGGCTCTCACTCTGTGATATAAATAGATTAGTGATGTTCTAGTGGAATTTAGGAAAATCATACTTTTTATAGTTAGGACAGACATTATGATAATAGGTATGTAGAGTCAGATTAATTATCATATAGTGATCCTGTACTGTTTTCTGTATTATACGTAAATGTTCTTCCAAAGAATATCAGCCTTTTCCCACAGTGCTTAGGTCATTGATATTTCCCATTCCGGTAACTTCCAGTTAAAAATGAGATTGCTTGTCACTGGTATACAGCTTGAAGTATCACAGAATCATAGGATCATAGAATGGTTTAGGTTGGAAGGGACCTGCCATGGGCAGGGACACCTTCCACTAGACCAGGTTGCTCAAAGCCCCATCCAAACTGGCCATGAACACTTCCAGGGATGGGGCATCCACAACTTCTCTGGGTAACCTCTTCCAGTGCCTCATCACCCTCATAGTGAAGAATTTCTTCCTTATATCTAATCTCAATCTACCCTCTTTCAGTTTAGAGCCATTACCCCTTGTCCTATCACTACATGCCCTTGTAAAAAATCCCTCTCCAGCTTTCTCGTAGGCTCCCTTTAAGTACTGGAAGGCCGCAATAAGGTCTCCTCACAGCCTTCTTTTCTCCAGGTTGAACAACCCCAACTCTCTCAGCCTGTCTTCATAGGAGAGGTGCTCCAGCCGTGGATCATCTCTGTGGCCCTCCTCTGGACTCACTGCAACAGGTCCATGTCCTTCCTATGTTGGGGGTCCCAGAGCTGGATGCAGTACTCCAGGTGGGGTGTCACGAGAGTGGAGTAGAGGGAGAGAATCACCTCCCTCAACCTGCTGGTCACACTTCTTTTGATGCAGCCCAGGTTACAGTTGGCTTTCTGGGCTGCAAGCGCACATTGCTGGGTCATGTTGAGCTTCTCGTCAACTAACACCCCCAAGTCCTTCTCCTCAGGGCTGGTCTTAGTCCATTCTCTGCCCAGCCTGTATTTGTGCTTGGGATTGCCCCGACCCATGTGCAGGACCTTGCACTTGGCCTTGCTGAACTTCATGAAGTTCACACAGGCCCACCTCTCAAGTCTGTTAAAGTCCCTCTGGATAGCATCCTTTCCCTCAGGCATGTCAACCACACTGCACAGCTTGGTGTCATCAGCAAACTTGCTGAGGGTGTACTCAATCCCACTGTCCATGTCACCGACAAAGATGTTAAACAGTGCCGGTCCCAATACCGACTCCTGAGGAATACCACTCGTCACTGGTCTCCACTTGGACATCGAGCCATTGACCAAAACTCTTTGAGTGTGACCATCCAGCCAATTCCTTATCCACTGAGTGGTCCATCCATCAAATCCATGTCTCTCCAATTTAGAGACAAGGGTGTCATGTGGGACAGTGTCAAATGCTTTGCACAAGTCCAGGTAGATTACATCAGTTGCTCTTCCCTTACACACCAACACTGTAACCCTGTTGTAGAAGGCCACCAAAATTGTCAGGCACGATTTGTCTTTAGTGAAGCTATGTTGGCTGTCACCAATCACCTCCTTATTTTCCATGTGCTTTAGCATAGTTTCCAGGAGGATCTACTCCATGATCTTGCCGGGCACAGAGGTGAGACTGACTGGCCTCTTGTTCCCCAGGTCTTCCTTTTTTCCCTTTTTAAAAATGGGCATTATGTTTCCCCTTTTCCAGTCAGTGGGAACTTTACCGGACTGCCATGACTTTCCCAAATATGATGGGCAGTGGCTTAGCACCTTCATCCACCAGTTCCCTCAGGACCCATGGATGCATCTCATCAGGTCCCATGGACTTGTGCACCTTCAGGTTCCTTAGATGGTCTCAAACCTGGTCTTCTCCTACGTGGGTGGTTCTTCATTCTCCCAGTCCCTGCCTTTTACTTCTGCAACTTGGGCAGTGTGGCTTGACTACTTGCCGCTGAAGACTGAGGCAAAAAAGTCATTGAGTACCCCAGCCTTCTCCATATCCTGGGTAACCAGGTCTCCCATTACCTTCTGGAGAGGGCCCACATTTTCCCTAGCCTTCCTTTTAACATCAACGTACCTATAGAAGCTTTTTCCGTTGCCCTTGGTGTTCCTGGCCAGATTTAATTCTATCAGGGCTTTAGCTTTCCTAACCTGATCCCTGGCTGCCTGGCTAGTTTCTCTGTATTCCTCCCAGGCTCCCTGTCCTTGCTTCCACTCCCTGTAGGCTTCCTTTTTGTGTTTGAGTTTGTCCAGGAGCTCCTTGTTCATCCATGCAGGCCTCCTGGTGTTTTTGCCTGGCTTCCTCTTTGTTGGGATGCATCACTCCAAAGCTTGGAGGAGGTGATCCTTGAATATTAACCAAGTAAGATTCTGATTATAGAAATTAAAAATGGAAAAGTCCTGTTAGGAGTAGTCCATCACCTTGACAGTTCAGGACTGAGCTCCATGCAGTTTTAAATATGTCATTTGATGCACTTTCCTCTTTTCCATTGTCAGCCAGTTCTACAGACTAATGGCTTTTGGTGTCTTTTGTAATCTGAAGGCCTTTAAAGCTGGAATGCAGATTTTTTTTTTCTTTTAGCTGTCAAATAATGCCAAGATGTTCTGTTCATAATAGTCTGGCAGCACAGACAATCTCCTGGAATCTGTATCTTTTTCCAGTTTACAAAGAATAAATGATGTAGCTGACAGACAAGAAAGTATCATTCTTTTGTTATTATTCTCTCTGTTTTGGTGGTCACAATTTTTTACTTCATGCTCTTGAAAAAGTAAAAATACGAAACTCTATTAGAAGAGCAGAGCCAGAGGATTAATAGAATCATTGAAGACAACTGAATTTAACCACAACTGGGTGATTTTACAAGAGAAGAGACAGAAGACTAACTTTTATTAACAGTCATAGAAGCTTCTTAATCAGTGTGCACAAAAGTCTTTATTACTGCTTTGCAGCTTTATAACAGCTTTTTTGGTTATTGAGGCAGTTTGTTCATAATGTTCAGAAGTGAAACATGGGACTGAAAGCCTTATGGCTATATTAGTGAGGTGTAACTGTACTATTTCTGGTTTAGTTATTAGCTCATGTATTGCCATCTTAACTTCAGCAGGGTTTGGAACAGACCCATATTCCTTACTTCTTTTTGCTTTGAATACATAAAATTTTACAAAAACAGAAAAAAAAATTGCAAGGTTATAAAAGACTGGTGTTTTAAAAGCCTGGAAGTTAATTAAGAAACAGAAAACCTGAATCCTTTCAGTGATGGAGCCTAGCAACCGCTTTGCAGTTATTAAATTTAGTTGATTCTCCATAGTTATTTACTGTCAATTTTAAAAATTCAATTCTCCTTCTGTATCTTGAAATAACTATGTAATTGAACTTGACAGGCTTGAACAACCATCCTGAGAGATTATTACAACTATATAGAGCATATTCAGAAGTAGTAGTTGACTTTTGAACAAAAAAGCCTTTGAGCTTCCTTCGTTCGTGCTTCTAGAATAAAAAGTTTCCTATTCTGGTGTGTTCCTGTGTGATAAAAACGAAGGGTTCAGTTATGCGTGCGCAGGTGGATAACCTACCCGTTCAAAAAAGGGAGAATAAAGTGATTCATACCCCAAGGGTCTGAGGCACCAGCCCTTAACACAACCAGGAGGAAGAGAGCAAGCCAGAGCTGGGTCTGTCTTTCCTAGTTATACCACAAGAGGGCAAAGCAGACTCATCATAAACTAAGCTGAGTCGCCACTGGCAATACTGAACTGCTAGTACTGACCAAAAAGCAGTAAC